CTAGGCTCCACGCATCGCACGTATCGTTGTGTTGATGCTAGGTTCCACGCATCGCACGTATTGTTGTGTTGATGCTAGGCTCCACGCATCGCACGTATCGTTGTGTTGATGCTAGGCTCCACGCATCGCACGTATCGTTGTGTTGATGCTAGGCTCCACGCATCGCACGTATCGTTGTGTTGATGTTAAATGTTCCGGAGGAAAAGTTTTAAAGTATTTGATGGTACTGATTGATATGTTTAGATGGTAAACATATGTAGCTGTTATTGAGTGAGGAGCATAATTAACACATTAGCCATTTAAAATTCAATTTTTTTTTTCTTTCAGACATTCATTTTCCGTCTGCATTTGGGTTTGTGCAGAGTAACATTTGTAATATCGGACGACGGATGTATCCTTTTGCGCAAATGCGTGAACTTAACGTTTCCCTTTTTCAGAAATGATACTTTACAATAAAGGAACGAAGTAGAAAAAGTCTAGACGGGATTACTGTGGAGGGTTGTTTACTCATGGCTGTATGCTTCCAAGTACTCGACCTGGTACTTGGTACTCGACCACTTTGCTTCATTTCGCTTCCCTTTATGTGATACGTGAATTTTATTCCCACTTTGATTAATAAAAATGCATTCAAGTGTAATTGTAATGATCCTAAATTTACAATCAAAGCCTACCATTGACACAATCATCAATTAACATGATAAAACAAGTCTGCTAAGGTCCTTGAAAATGTGGACATCGGGGTCCTTGTTGTCATTTCATTTTGGGACTACTTATTACCAGGTTGTTATCATATCACCAGCATTTGGAATTCATGCCATCGGATCTCACTTCATGTTTTGTGTCCTTCACATTTGACGTATTCAATGTGATTTCAAGTTTCAGTTCTGTTTGAAATTTGCAGAACTCTCGCAAGACACACACGCTGTCTATGTATAATGGCTCTTACTGCAAAAATTCATAATATTTGTTCGAAATATCAATTAAAAGTATGTGGTGTTGATTTTAATCAGTTACCTATCATAAAAATTAATTTACTACTCCTCAATGCTATCCCTCATGGAAATATTCAAGTTCTTTGGATAAACTTCCTCTTATTGTCTGTTTGGTGATCAGTAATACCATGACAATACCATGATCTTATATTGATAAAAGAAAGAATATATTTTCTGTTTGTAGTAAACTTTCTGATTCGGAAGGATTTTATCATTTTCAGCAACTGCAAGGATTGGCAGGATGCTTTCAATATTCAACAGCGGTGTCAGCAACAAATCTCAAGGAGGTCAATTTTTTTCATGGTTTTAGTATTTGAAGTTCAGGAGTCTGAGTTATTTCAGTAGTATCGAAATACCGGACTGAAGGATTTCAATGACTTTCCCTATCTAACCGTCGAAATTAAAGTAGTTTTATCAGAATTGGAAATGACATGGGCAGACCATTGGCAAACTAATAATTTTGGCTGTTATTAAAATTTTCAAAATTTGAGAGATTTTTACAAAATGCCTGTCTGGAAATCGTTTTTCTGAATTTTATTTCGCCTAATTACTTTAGGTAATTGCTCAAAAAATTTCAACTCATAACGAGAAAGTTCGAGAATTTCGGAAACAACATGGTGCAACGGTAATTCAGAATGTAACTGTGGATATGCTTTATGGTGGAATGCGGACTTTAAAGGTTTCTTTTTTCTAATTCATGTTTGAGCTGAGTGTTTTATGAAGGGAACCTATGTCACCTTATTTTTGAAATTTAGAGATAGAGATGACGGTTATCCATTTACATGCAAATTCAGATGGCTTTGTTGGCAAACAAAAGTAAAAGCGTTTTTACAGCTACATTCTCATTTGTTATTTGCGTTGTGCAAAATTTGATGTGCTTGTTTCGAAACGGCTTCCGTGAAAAAAAAAATGAATTTACTAATAAACGAGAGTTTACAAAAGATTGCAAATACTAGTAATTATGAAGTACTCGAATTTCAACAAAAGCAGTGACACATTGTGAAAGTATTGTAGTTCATAGAAGACCCTTAAAAAATAATTTTTTCTAAACGATAAAACCGATTTTCAGGCACTAGTGACTGAGACATCCGTGCTAGATCCGGAGGAAGGTATACGCTTTCGTGGTTATTCTATACCAGAGTGCCAAAAAATCTTGCCTAAGGCAAAAGGAGGTGAGGAACCATTACCGGAGGGGATTTGGTGGCTGTTGTGCACTGGTGATATCCCAACTGAGGCACAAACTACAGCAATCAGGTATTAGTATCATTTTTAACTTTTTAAAGGTAATTTGAAACTGCTTCAATATTCTAAAATTCTATTAAATTGCCCAAGTGTTTGGAAATTTTCTATGGAAGAAATTGGATGCTGTACTGTTGTGGATAATTAAGATTAGGATACATAATCACTTCCGATAGGTTACTGATTTGTATTAAGTACATACCGAAAATCTAGTGGTCTGTTCCTGCTTTCACGGAGACACTTTAGGGTCCTTAAGGAGTTTTATATCTTGTGATTTCTTTTTCTTGCTTTCATTGCATCACATAAAAAGCCTTGACAAAAAACTTAGTTAAAACTAAAAAGACAGTACTGAATTCTAGTCACTGATACTGAAATTTTTGGCCGCGTCGTTTTCGAATTTAACGAAATTCTCGAGCGATTTTTCAAATAATTTCAGTAAGGAATGGGCTGCACATGCGGATCTACCGAAGCATGTAGAACAAATGATCTGCAATTTCCCGAACAATTTACATCCTATGGCGCAGTTTATTTCCGCTATTGCCGCTCTTAACTGTGAAAGTAAATTTGCCAAAGTACGTGTGAGCAAAAGTTCCTAACAGTATTTGTTTAAACTTAGATGCAAATTTGTTTTTATAAATTTCAATATTTTCGCTTATTTTTTCCGTCTTTCGTTTTTTTAAAATTTTTTCTTGTTTTTTTTCATTTTTTCATTTTTTTTTCAATATTTTTGCTCATTAGAAGCTGCATGTTTGTAGTTATAAAACAGCTGAAAATTTTGTTTTACAGAACTGATTTATACAAAACGGTAATGATATAAATCCACAGCAAAAGAAATAGGGAATAGAAGTTCCCCATTTGATTTGGAAACAGACTGTTGATTAGAGCAGGTGGCTCATTACTTCTCTGCTTGCCAGTATTATGAAGGACAGCCATCTTTCCATTAGTAAAAGTCTCGTTTCTTTAGTAGTTCGTATAATATATTATTTTTAATATTTTTAGGCCTACAGTGATGGAGTACAAAAAGCGAAATATTGGGAGTTTGTATATGATGATGCTATGAAACTTCTTGCGAAATTACCCACAATTGCTGCACTTATTTATCGAAATTTGTACAGAGATGGTATGTTTTTAGATAGCTTAAATGAAGTTCATTTATTCAAATCATCAACTTTCGGAAGATTGTTAGCATAAAATAATATATTAATTTTATCTTGATTCGCTATAATTTCCGCCATTTTGTCGAAAGTCAAGAAAAGGATTTATTCCTTCATATTGCATACAAAATTCAATCAGTCATCTAGAAAATTCACGTTAAGATTAAATTGTGAATTTTGGAAATTTCTTGGAAAATTAAGTTTAACAGTTTCAGGTACATTGGCAAGTGTAGTTAACTTATCGAATGATTGGTCTGCTAATTTTACATCAATGCTTGGTTTCAAGGATCCAAACTTCACCGAACTTATGCGCCTATATCTCACAATCCATAGCGATCACGAAGGCGGTAATGTTTCTGCGCATACGTCGCATCTAGTCGGTTCTGCTTTATCAGATCCATATTTATCGTTCTCCGCTGCTATGGCTGGGCTTGCTGGGCCGCTACATGGCCTGGCTAATCAGGAGGTTCTTGCTTGATCAGTTTTTTCCTACATCTGTAATTATTTACACTCACTGACAAGATTCCGGTTATTTAATTCTTAGATATTGTTTGTAAAAGCATGAAAGATAAAAAGATCTTGACCAGATTTTATTGTCCATAAGTTACTGTTTTCTTAACTTTAGGTATTGGTGTTCTTATCAAAGTGCAGGAAAGAACTAGGCGATAATTACACTGATCAGCAATTGTGCGACTGGATATGGAATCATTTGAAGAGTGGGCAGGTGGAATTTTCACATAATAATCCTTTGAGATGATTCAGAAAATTTCATGCTGCTACAAATCAATAATACCGATTTTCAATAACATTTGGAACTTTGAGTGTTACTGTTTCAGGTAGTACCGGGTTATGGTCATGCTGTACTGCGTAAAACAGACCCACGATACACCTGTCAGCGAGAATTTGCCTTGAAACATCTTCCGAAGGATTCAATGTTCCATCTTGTTTCAAAGCTCTACGAATTTACGCCTGACATCCTTTTGAAGCAGGGAAAGGTGTGGTACAATTATAAAAATTCGAAAAAGTCTCCTTTTAATCCATATTTTAATCCATCTTCTTTTGGAATGTTCTGAAATGAAAATATTTCCTGGATTTGATTGGTATGCAAGGATTCCCTGGTATGTTATGATGATTCCCATGTAAAATGGTTTAATCGGCTTGAACGAATACATTAATTGTGAATTATTATGATTATTCTAGGCCAAAAATCCATGGCCCAATGTGGATGCACATTCTGGAGTATTGCTGCAATATTATGGCATGAAAGAGATGTCCTTCTATACGGTACTTTTTGGTGTATCACGTGCACTTGGCTGCTTATCGCAGATGATATGGTCTCGCGCTATGGGCCTGCCACTCGAACGTCCCAAATCTCATTCGACGGACGGTTTGATGAAGTTGGTTGAGAAAAAATGAAGGAAAAAAATATATAAGCTGTTGCATATTTTCTTAAATGTTCCACGAAAATTTCTGTATTCCTGCCCAATATTAATGCTAATACGCATAACAGTTGCCATTGATAATGATCGCTTTTATTGATTTCTTGTTTTGTTTTCGAAGTTGTTGATCTCTTCAACACTTTAAAATACAAGATGTCTTTCCAGTATAGGATAAACATCCTGTACTGGAAAAAGAAAAACTTTTTTAATTGCGTCAATAAGATAATTATGCACTCGACTCAATGGTTTTTCCAGACTGATTATATTTGGAGAATTTTAGTTACTTTATATTTCATTTTGGAATTCTTTGAAAGTATTGATTACTACTAATTGGAAATTGTGTTCCTGGACTTGTTTTCGAAGTTCAGAACCAAGAGAAATTTCGAGAGTTTCGTTTTAATTTCGGGTGAATATCCACACAAGGAAAAATTGCAATTTCGTTTTTTAGTTATGGCAGTCTAAATGAATTGCAGCAGAATCAAGCAAAGATTTTAAGGATATTGATCCTTCTATAAAATTTGGAGAAACTCTAGGTTTTCTTAGAAAAATTCTAGATCTTTCTTATCTCTAACGTATTTATGCTAAACCCTTTCGAATTCATAAAAGTATTTTAGCTAACTTTTTACCGAGTAGGTAGGCAGTATGTCTGACAGCTTTATATATCGGCGATTTTTCGAAGTACGCAAAACTTATTACTATTTCATTTTCACTTTTTTTTTCTTTTTTTGTTAGAATGTCACTGTCGCTGCACTCCGTTCTATTTAAAACAAAAAGGAGTATTCGAGTTCATTTTGTTCGCGCTTTTTATTACCACTTTCCAAATGCTGAGAATTATCTGGTAGACTAAGGGAAGCTTTCTTTTTTTAAATACAATATAGGTCTCCTGTCTAATTTTATGCATACCTTATTCGAGCAATGTTAAATGTTATGTTGCATATTTATATAATATAAAGCAGTTTTTGTCGGCTACATATTTCATTAAAATTGTTATTACATAGTAAACAAATGCATAAACTGGAATTCATAGGCCTCAAAAAGATCCGTGTACATGCTAGATCGTTGAACTTATAATCTAGATGATGTAAAATGTCGTCGGTAATCATCATGTAGGCGTGGTGATGGAGGTCGGTGGTAGTAGCGATCGCTACGTTTTTCCTCATAAATATAAGCATCCATACGTTCTCGAGAATTCCCTGGTTCGGATGGTATGGGATCTGGAACTACTTTTTTCAGTATAATTTTGAAATGATGGAATCGAGTGAGTTCAATCAAAATTTACTAGATATGGGAAAATTGCTTAATTCATCTGATTTTTGTTTCAAATGCCTCATTGCTGAATTAATTTTCAATGTAGCCTATGCTATGAAGTAATATCACTTACTTTGTGGTACCATGGTTGCTTGTGGTACAATGGGTTGTTGTTGTGTGTAAGTATTTGCAGCGATTGGAGAAGTAATGTTATTTTTGTTGGCACCATGATTACGTAATCCAAACCAACCAGCAAACCATATCCCAAGTGCACACATACAAGGTACCAAGCAACATAGAAATAATGCTATTAATATTAGGATAATGGTGATTATTCGACTCCATTGGCTGAAAATAGCAAATTTTATGCAAATGAAACTATTGAAATAACAGTGAGCTATTAGTTGATAAATTATAAGCTCAATTTTATCTTGTAATAGAAAGATATTTATTGAGAGAAAATGGAATGAACATTATAAAATAAGGCAATATAAAAAGGAATAAAACGTGATGAAGAAATATTTCAATTATTTACATATATACGTTTTTTAGTTATAATTATTTATTTCTTTTTTAACAAATAATTGATACTGACATAAATTATTTGCAAACATACAATCCATATCCGTAATAGCTATCATAAGCATAATCCTGCCATAATTGTCGTTTGTTACGAAAGTTTTGAACAATAAATGGTACAGTGCTTGTAAATAAATGTGCTACAACAGGAACTGTCATATTTGATGACATTAGTCCTTCTTAAGTTCTCTGAAAATATACGATTAGAAACCTAAAATATTATACTGCCTTACATTTTCTAATGTTTCAATTAAATTCTTAGATTTAAAAATAATTTTTAAAATTTGGATAACATCAACATTGTTTAATTGGTCACATCTCGTAACAGTATGTATTACCATTTTCTAACTCCCTCAAAAATACTACCATCAAATTATTTCATCAGATTATTGATAGTTCAAATGCTTTTTTATCCGGATATGCTCAAACAAGGATTTTACTGTAAAACGGTTTTGGCATACTTTGATCACATTAGCTAGTTTGGTCGAATGATCTTGATGTCGATCGTTCAATTATCACCTAATATAACCTAATATCTATCGCATCTATTTCCAATATATCCAATTTTTCTAGTAAACATGATAAAAATGTGTTGAACGTTCCAGACGTAATATTTCAACTAATAAGTTTACAAAAATTGGTTTTCCATTTTTATTTATGGTACTTGCTTTGTTACTTTTTTTTACAAATTTCAGGAAATTTTCATGAATAATTTACATAAAGGAATAACGAAAGAAAAGGAAAGATGAAACAAATGCTGAAAATGAATGAAAGATTTGCCTCAGATTTTCCTTTTTGAGATTTGATACCGCGAACCAGAAAATTTTAAGGTAAATCCGTCAAAAGTTGCTGAAAAAAATTACTGACTCTGCTTATGAAATAAGTAATTTCATGGTATAAATAATTAATTTTTCAAGATAAACAAATGAAATAAGTAATTTCAAAAAGATAAATTGCCTTGAAAGACATTAATACTAACTAGCTAAAAACTGCTAATGAAAAAGAACAATCGTTGGAAAGATGACAATAAATTTGAATTTCCGAAAGAATTCATATTAAAGTTTCGTTTAAACGCCTGAAAATTCTTTCCCCATGTTTTTTCGCAAGTTTAAAGTTCAATTTTAATAATTGGTTAGTTGCTTAACACAGTATTCCCTATTTGCTGACATAACTACACGTCCGATATCATCTCTAAAATCGTCATGCCAACCGTGAAACAATGTCTTGTTAATCTATAAATTGTACAAGATGGTTAATCTTCCTTAGCCAACAAACAGTATCTTTTCAATCTTGGAATTCCTCGAAAATAGTTGAATTACCCAATGCTATTAAAGCTTATCTGAGTAACACTTGACAGGATTTCAAATTTTTCGAAAAATTTAAAGTCGAAATAACGGCTAGTTACAACAAATATAAATTATATTAACTGTGGTATTTGTAAAATAGATATGAAAAGAGGTTCGATAGGGAGATAAATTGGCTTTGACTGGCTATGAAAAGAGTGAGCACCTGATATTGTTCAAACTGTATATAATAAACATTGCCTCGATGTCAAGAACCAGTCCTTCACTGTATTCTATGCATATATGATGATTCTATGGATAATATTTTACACCCTAGCAATTTATAGCAACAACAATAAAAAAAAAAGGAAAAAGAAAAAACAAGTATTATATTGTTATAGAAATCGTAGCTTCCTATTGTGAAAGTTTCATGTTTTCAAGAATTTGTTGATTAAAATTTGTATAAAAACGTAAATACTTGAAAATGGATGATAAAAGTAAATCTGTAACCATGACAAACTATATAATACTTTAGTAGTATAGAAATGTCATTCATTTCTATCCTATATAATATATTATATTAAAAACTTTTCACGATCATAATTTATTCACAATTCATATTTTACATTTAAAATGAAATCAAAATATTTTGCTTCAACAATTTTCCTTTCAGATAATGCATAAAGTGGACATTACAAATGGCTAAAAATTTGGCTTAGATTATAAAATTACCTTTATAATTATATATGATAAAAGAAGGTAGAAAGTACTACCACAATGTACTACAAGTGACACGTAAGATGAATGTTATGTCAAATCCACTTTATGCTTTTTCTAAAGTTATATTTTAAATTTTACAACATTTTATAAATGAAAAGAGATAGATGATGAAAAGAGATGATATCTGAGATGATATTTTACTTGAAACCATACAGCTATCAAAGTAGATAAGCAAAAAACCAAATTGAACACAAAAAATGATAACTCAAAACATAACAATGAGTTAATTGCTTATTCTTTAGTTTTTCACGGCTTGTAATTTTAAATCATTTTTACATTTCGTTAAAACTGAAAATTCGCCCAAAAAAAATGTTAAAATCAGCCAACTTTTTTTTCCCCATAATATAACTGAAAATTTTATCCTCCTTCCTTCTTCTTCTTCTAGTATATCAAAATAATGTGAATGAATTATTGTGTCTAATACAGCAGACAAGCAACTTTCATTTTGCATCCATTAGCTTTGATTTTATTTCATAACAAAAAAAAACAAAAATATACGAAGTGAAGAGTAAAGATAGGGAAAGTGAACGCTATGGATATAAAAATTATATAAATATAAATATTAAATTGGATATAAAAATTGCAAAAAAGCAATATTCCAAAAATTTCTGTACTCCTTGATTGCTTCATGTCACCATAATTTTTAAAATAAGATTCCCCGTATTTCACTTCTGACAATATTTCAATTAAAGTAAAACATTATAATAATAAATCCAATAGATTATATGAGCATTCTATATGAGCATATTATGAGCATTCTTTAATTAGAGTTCCTTTGATTAATTACCACAACTATGGCTGCTGCTGCTGCTGCGCATATTAAAGATATAATTCTTGAAGATGATAGCTCAATAAAGTGACATTTATGGGAAGTATCTTAGTTGAAAATGATGAATTGAATAGATATCAGTGATGATATTTAATAGAAATTCTTCTTCTGACTTTAACTGAACTATTTATTGTCAGAAGAGTGGATAAAATAATTATCACGGAGAATGATTCCCCAACCATAAACAAAATGGATTTGACCCTCAATCATACACCGTATAGTACTGTAAAACGATCAACTTAACTTATTTCCATTTATTTCGACAAAACATATCATTACCAAAACCTTACTAATTATCAAAAAAAAAAAAAACGATTGTATTTTAGTTTAAAACAAGAGTTATTCAGTTATACATGATTGATATTCCTGTTTTATTCCTTTAGTTTTTTTCTTGAGTGCTATTTTTATATCCAAACATATTATAATACAACTTTTTTAAAGGGTCTCAATCTAAAGGACTCAAAAAAACAACAAAGTAACAAAAAAATTCAAAACGAGTCCCGGACTTTTCTTTTTGGGAATTATTTTTGTTTTCTCTGACAACAGCTCCATCTTTAGCTGAGATAATGGAAGTTCTTGTTGAAACAGCTTCAAATCCAATCTAATCACTTCACCGTAAGAAAGTCCTGGACGCAGTTCATTTCATGGTTTGTTGCATGCAACTGCTGATCCCAGCAATTACTACAAATTGTTGAGCACATGACAGTACATTAGGCAGTTCGGGAAATGTTGCTATATATCGAGAGGGGGTCGGACGTAGGAGAAAAGGAAAAGGAGAATGTATGGCTAAGAATGTCGCAAAGATTGATAGAAGTAGTGAGAGATAATACGGTGATGGAATGAGAGAATAATGAAATCATTGCGGTTGATAGTTGTAGCAGTAATTGAGAGCATCTCATGAGTGGGATGGAGAGGTGGGAGAGGTTGTTGTCTGTTTTCTACCAGTTGAGTTTTTCGGACGGTCGACTGTTTAATTCTCCAATTACAAAATTGTAATGAGTAGATATGTCTACAGCATGGTCGTTGTAAATTACTCAAACGGTACTAGATGTAAGAACAGAATGGTATGACCGGTTAATGCAATTACGGTTTTCCGGTTGGCCCATCTGCAAATGTTTATTTCTTATTGCTGCAGCATTATTGATAATTGTGCACTTCTTTGCGTTTATGAAACGTCAAGCATAAATTGCGGGTTTTTCAGGACAAAAACAAGTGAAACTCAGAGAACTCAATGTATTTGTACAATTTAACACTACAAGGTTCGTCAGCAATCAATCAGGCAATTCATGGATCTTTCTGCGGATTACCAAAACAGCAGGTATAATTTTTAAATTAATTAAAAGAATATGAACTTTATTAGGCAGAGTTATGATTGGTAGATATTGTAACGAAAGAAGGATTCTCTATCTGTAACTTCTTTATGAATTCCAGTTTTTCCTATCATGACTTCGAGCTTGAAGGTAATTCACAGTATATTGACTGATTAAATAAATGAGAAGAATGTTGGGATAAAAGCACAAGAATTATGAGGTTTTATTTGCCGCCCATTGCATATAAACTTAAACGCGAAATTACGTAGAAATTAAGTGAAACGGTTCTTTGAAGTGCAAGCGATGCAATGCGTCTGTATCTGGTTTTCTAGGGCGTTCTTGTATGAGTTGACTGATTTAACTTGTCAGGTTAGGTCAATTAAATAATGAAGTAGACAAGTAGTATATGTCGTCAGAAAATATCGAGCATTTAATTGCGATTTCTAATCTATCTGGTTGGAAAAATATTCATTAATTTGAACTACTTAAATGAACGAACTAAATTACTTGTATTGCAGGAAGTATGCATTGCTCGCGGCAATCTTCTGCAGTTATTGTTTTGTGATCCGAAAACAGGAAAAATTCATATTTTATGCAGTCATAATGCTTTCGGTATTATAAGATCATTGTTGGCTTTTCGTTTAACTGGTGGAACCAAAGGTTTATTAATGTTTGATTATGGTTTAATGAAGCGAATTTAAAATTTCATTGCACAAGATGTAGAATATCTTTTTCAGCATTTATTTCTTAGTTAGAGCATATATCCGATTTGGTGATCTTCAGTTTTATCTGATTATCTCAGAGACTTCAAGAAATAGGTTACAATATGTTTTTTGGCTAAAATAACGATTTCTAAAAATGTGCCCGCGAAAAACTTGTTGTAGACTACATTGTTGTTGGTTCGGATGCTGGACGTATTGTAATCCTGGAGTATAATACCCAGAAAGTATGTTTTGAAAGAGTTCACCAGGAAACATTCGGGAAAACTGGCTGTCGCCGAATTGTTCCAGGACAATTTCTTGCTATTGATCCGAAAGGACGTGCGATCCTGATTGGTGAGTGTTTTTAAGTGTAACATTTTTACAGGATCATTAATGTAGTTGATTCTTTTCATATTGGCGAAGGGCTTGGAAAGCTAAAAAAATATAAATCGCTTAAGGATGAGGCCGATATATTGATATTGACGGAGATAAGCCGATCTGTTACCACTGTATGCGATTATTTGGAATTTCCGTAAATAGTGATCGGTTGCTTTATATAGTTTTTTAGAAACCTATCAAGTGTATAACTATTTTTTTTTTAGTTTTGCTAACAGCTAGCATTTGTTGAAGGCTCTTGTACGTAAATTATATGGCACAGCCTCTGGTATTGAAGAGTTGTAAATTTGGTCAGAGAAGATCGACCGAAACACTTAAGTAGATCAAAGTGAATGAATTAAGTATTAATCTTTTCTCATTAGTCCCAGCCCGTAGCTATGGTCAGTGTGCAGTTGCCATGTATAAGAAAATATTGAACTCTCTTAAAACTTTTTAAAGTGGTAAGATCTGCCATATAAATATTCGATTAAAAATGCCTCTTGATCATAGCAGGACTGCAAGCTGATCATCAGATTGTTGTAGAATGGGTTGCTGAAAAAGAATCATGATTTAGTTATATGGCGATCTCAACCATTGGGTTAACGTTGTGAAAAAAAGGCCACAACTTTTGCTCTCAGTTCATGCTGTTCAGCCCATGACTGGGTCATTGAATGGTTTGTAAATTCTGTAAGTTTAAGTGAAATTTTTGTTGGTATGAAAGATTTCCAAGTAATTTATTTTTTGCAGGGGCTGTGGAGCGTCAGAAATTGGTATATATTATGAATCGGGATGCATCGGCAAATTTAACAATCAGTTCGCCACTGGAAGCACATAAATCTCATTGCATCTGTTATAGTGTTGTTGGTGTGGATGTCGGATTTGAAAATCCTACTTTTGCATGTTTAGAAGTTGATTACGAGGTAAGTGACAACTCATGAAAGTATTTCTCTCGCAATAAATATGTTTAACTTTTTTTTCTTAATTAGCAGACTAACAGAAGTGGAATGTAAGTGCATTTCTTGATTTTCGAATAATGCATATATTTCATGAAGTTTTTGAAAACATTCCAACCACTTGTTTAAAATTTATCCTTCAATTCAAATTTATTCATAGTTTAAAACACACTCATTTTTTTTATTAAGATATGGCAATCACTATACATTGAAATAATTAAATGTATTGAAGGAAGTTGATCACGATTCTACCGGACATTTGGCTACGAAAATTCCACAGACATTAACGTTTTATGAATTGGATCTTGGTTTGAATCACGTAGTTCGCAAGTACGCTGAACCTTTGGTTGATAAGGGAAATATTCTGATTTCAGGTCTATTTCAAAATGTCTTGATCAAGATTTTCTTTCAGCAAACAAATTCGTCAAATTTTCAATAAAATGTTTGAGTTTTTGCGCGCAGTGTATCTGAAATATATAAATTACTTTCTTTTGCAGTACCTGGTGGACAAGATGGACCTAGTGGTGTTATTGTTTGTTGCGAGAATTATCTTGTTTATAAAAATCTGGGTGATCAACCAGACATTAAATGTCCAGTACCACGAAGAAGAGTTCGTTTGCACAGTCTTTTCATCTCGACCACCGTCTATTTTTCTTTGCAGTAGTGTATGGGGATGCTTTAGATATTTAATTATTGTTTTGAGTGAGTTCTCGATCTCGGATTTGAAAGAAGATTAATACTTATTGTAAGCTAATCTTAGTTCCAGCTAATCATTCTTGAGTTTTTTCTTTTTTTCAGAACGAATTGGACGATTGTGATCGCACCGTCATTATTGTTTGTGCCGCAACACATAAGACAAAATTGATGTACTTTTTCTTGGTACAAACCGATCAGGGTGATATTTTCAAAGTTACACTGGAAAGTGAACATGACATTGTAAGTTATTTCTCATAAATTTGAAGTTTTGAGCGATGTTGGTCTATATCGTGTTCTCATTTTGACTTCTGATAATGTGTGGCTTCCGTTACTCCTTAGTATTTCTGAAGTAATGCCGGGCAAACTTCTCTTTTACTCCAATTTTATGCTCGTTAATTCACGTGATTCCCTAAAAGGTAATGTCTGTTGTTCATTGACGATTTCTTTATCGTTACTTTTGTGTTTAGAAAGTTTTAGCGATCCCTGTAATGTTCAATATTTCATCTTATGTTAAGTCAGTCGAATGAACTTTAAGCGTGTTGCTTTTTAAATTCGATGCTTTAACCAATAAAACAGTAGACATCTCAATCTCATTCAGTTTGAATGGGTTTCATCAGATCAACCTTTTTTTTCTGGATATATACACTGGACTAATTGAACATGGAGTCTTAAGTGGAATTTTTATTGGCTTATACTACTTTTTGAGTTCGCTTCCTTCTTTTAGGTCACTGAACTTAAAATCAAATATTTTGATACGATACCAGTTTCAAATGCCATGTGTATTTTGAAAACGGGATTTTTGTTTACTGCAAGTGAATTCGGAAATCAGTATGTTCTTTGTAATTGCTTTAGTGACTGCTTTTTTGGCTATTGTTAAATCATTTAATTTATTGAAAATAGTGCTTCCTATTCGGGAGAAACTAGCTCTAAAAAGACCAGTAGCTTTACACCCAATCACATTTCATGTACGTTATTTTATCAGTGAAATAGCGAATGCTATACTGAGGTCTAAGTAGTCTTATTATTTTGATTTCTTACATTTCTTACTCTTTCTTACAATTTCGATTTTTCTGACTTACATATGCGTGTTTTTTTTTGTTTGGTATTTAAGTTGAATTACTTGAAATGTATTAATTTTACTTTGCAGTCACTTATATCAGATAGCACATTTGGGTGACGAAGATGATGAACCTGAGTTTTCATCGCGAATGCAGTTGGAAGAAGGTGAAACATTCTTTTTTGCTCCTCGTGGACTCACGAATTTGGCAGTTGTCGACCAGATGGATAGCCTATCACCGCTTATTTCTTCCTACGTGAGCTCTGAAGTTTTGTTGAATAGATTAGCCGTTATTTCAAATGACTTCCTTCATTACTTATTTGTTAAGATAAATGATATCATGGAATTTCTTTGAATGAGCTTTAGTTTTAAATTTTACAATTACATTTTATGGTTAGTTTTTTTCGAGATTTTACTTACTTTGATTGTACCACATTCCCTTTTTCAGGTTTTTCTGTGAACTAACTCTGTCTACTTTACAGATTGACGATTTGGCTAATGAAGATTCTCCTCAAATTTACACTTTAATAGGACGTGGCGCACTTTCTGCAGTCAAGGTGCTACGCAATGGCTTAGAAGTAACAGAAATGGCTGTCTCTGAATTGCCTGGTAATCCGAATGCAGTTTGGACAGTGAAACGAAACATTGATGGTATGCTTTCATTCAAGAGCTTGGAGACGTGGTTCTAGATATGTTCGAGGTTGTTAGCTTATAAATGTATTGATAAATCTTAATTAGTTTGTAATACCTTGCGAAAAAACCATGAGTGAATGTTGGAAGGTTTTGTAAATAATCCATTGTTAGTTAACTTTCAACTAAAAAATTAACAAATCTACATTTTGTTTTTATCCTGATTCTGTAGAAGAAAATATTTACGAATGACGAACTTTAGATAAATTTGATTCCCATATCGTTGTTTCCTTCGTTAATGCAACACTCGTATTATCTATTGGTGAAACTGTCGAAGAAGTTACGGATTCTGGCTTTCTTGGTACAACACCGACACTTGGCTGTGCACTTATTGGCGATGATGCTTTATTGCAAGTTAGTAATTTCTCTCTCTTATAATTTCCATGAAAATGTTTTTCTTTTCTTTCTGGGAAAGCGTTGTAATCATTTGGCAAATGAAAATTTAAAATTTAAATTTGACTAGTTCAAATTTTTTTTTAATTTTGACTGTTTTGACTTTTTTATTTAAATTAAAATTTAATTTCTGACTAAACTTGATTCTTTTCAAAACTTTTTTTTCTATTGAAATTTAAACTTAATTCACTCTGTTCAAATAATCCTTCTGCTTTATACTTTAGGTGTATCCAGACGGTATTCGACACATTAGGGCTGATCGACGAGTAAATGAATGGAAAGCACCTGGTAAACGTACAATTATGAAATGTGCGCTGAATCGAAGGCAAGTAGCAATCGCACTTGCCGGTGGTGAACTCGTCTACTTTGAACTTGACGTGGTAAGACGCTTCCTTATTTGTTTGTCGTTCTGTGGGTTCTGTTATTGTGCTGTTATTGTTCTGTTCTGTCGTTCTGTTATTTTATCTTTAATTTACTTGCTTCTTTCGTTTTCAAATGTTGTGTTATTGACTTGGCATTCATTAAGTTGTCTTTTTGCTTTTATATTATTCTCCTCTAAATTGTTTACTTTGCTCAACAACATTGATTTATTTACCTTGTTTTGTCATCGTTTCAGACTGGGCAACTGAACGAATACACCGAACGACGTGAGCTGCCTGCTGATGTCCTATGCATGAGTTTAAGTGAAATTCCTGAAGGGGAGTTACGGTCTCGTTTTCTTACAGTAGGCTTGGCTGACAAAACAGTACGAATTATATCCTTGGATCCACAAGATTGTCTTTCACCACTTAGGTAATCCCATCGCTAATTTTGACAAATTTGTGAACATATAGGCTTTGCTTCTGACTAGGAAACGCGATACCCTCGTTGAAATTAAGCAAAAACTTGAGAAACTTGACTTTTTAACTTATTAGATTATTCCAAATTCAATAGAAATTAAATAATTCCTCTCAGTATGCAAGCACTGCCATCAGAACCGGAATCAATTATTGTGCTGGAAATGTTTGGCACCGAAACACAGAGTGCATCAACTGTTCATTTGAATATTGGTTTGCAGGTTCGTTCATTTGGCACTTTCTTTATATAAGTAGAGTACGGACCTTTTCTTCTGAAAGATCAAGAGGAAATCTGTTATGATATGCTACTATGTTCAAGTAGCGTTTTCATTAAATTTGAAAATTAATTGATGAATTTCTAAGATTAATTTATTTTAATGAATTGCAAGAAAGTTTGATTACTGTATTATCACTAAAGTGTGCTATTTTAGAATGGCTGCTTGCTTCGAACCACTGTGGACCAGGTTACAGGTGAACTAACCGATAACAGAACTCGCTATCTGGGGACGAAAAGTGTAAAGTTGTTTCACGTAAGGATACAAAGTAAAGATGCGGTATGTCAAACTTCCAGATTTAGTTCACTTTTTGTGGATTTTAATACAACTTTCCAACAATTTGTAAAGAGAGTATTTAAATTCGACTTTGATTTAGGGTTAGACGGATACATAAAGTTTTAATTTCCATGGAATAATGGAATGCAATAAATGGAACATATGATGGTGCTTAAATTTCAAACTATCTCCATCAGCCAACCATTTGTTCTTTTTTTTTTAATGCTTTCGCGAAACATTTCGTGTCATGCTTCAATTTATTATTTTTAGATCATGGCCGCATCATCACGAGCTTGGCTTTTGTACGATTACCAGAGCAGATTTCATCTTACCCCCCTTTCATATGCAGCTCTGGAATTCGCAGCCGGTTTTTCATCGGAACAATGTCCAGAAGGAATTGTAGCTATCGCGGAAAATACTTTGAGGTTTTTAATAATTTTTTCAAGTATAGTATTTTCGAAGAAAAGAAAGCACTTCATTCTATGGAGTTCTTCCAGGATAATTAGTTTTCTTGAAATGAATCCTCAGATTAACCAGTTTTACTTATCTAGACACCTTTTAAAATATTCTGACTTTCCCGGTGACATCATTTTTTGTTCTCAGGATTTTGTCGCTTGAAAAGTTGGGAGCCGTTTTTAATCATGTTGTGCATCCACTGGATTATACACCTCGGCGTATGGTAGTGCATAAAGCATCCGGAAATCTGATTATAATTGAAAATGATCATGCCGCTTTCACGGTAAAAGGGAAAATGGAACGTCGGAAACAGCTTGCTGATGTTTGTAATTGCTTTTTTTCTTATAAACTAACAGCAAGTTGAGGTTTTCTCAGGTCTCTAAAAAATTTTCAAATTAATTAGGAGTAAAAGAAGCCAGTTAGTTAGTCCAAATTGTAGATATCAAGTCATATTCCCTCTTCCGAATGACTTGCGTACTTGATTCTTTCTCTGACTTTCTAAAACACCAAAAGTTCTAATAAACGAAACTCTGTTATCTCAGTTAATTCGTAAACGATTTCAGGAACTAATGGAAGTAGCAAAGGAGGCAGAAGAAGCGGACCAGCAAGCAGTGAAAGAAATGGCTGATGCAATTCGTACTGAAAAAGTTGATGAAAGAGTTTATGGATCACCAAAAACCAAAAAGGTGAAATTCGAGGAACAAACTTCGAGATTTACTTTCATTATTATCCAAATTGTCAATTAATTTAACACAATGCACTTTCTAATAGTGATTTGAATGTTACCTGGCTATACATTTATGTCGAGGAAGAGATTCTACCACTTAAATCAGAGCTCTGTCAGGTACTTATAAAACTTACTTTTAGGGAAATGGGCTTCGACAGTTCGAGTTATGCGCAGTAATGATGGTGAAACGCTTTCACATTTTCCTTTCGCTGAGGATGAAGCTGCATTTGCGTACGAGTTGAAATATTTGAAAAAAATTTGACTTTTGTATAAGCTTTGAAAATATATTTCATGAAAAATTTAGCAAAAACAAAAAAAAGTTTGGGTATGTTGAAGCATGTTGTAGGCATGATTGCAAGAGTAAGACTATGGCATCCACGATGACTTATCGAAAATGATACTTCATGTTAGAGACCCAGTAATAGGACTAATGTTCATCATATGTTAAATTCCAGGATAGCGATGGTGCAGTTTCAGAATCAAAGCGACACACAGTTTGTGTTGGTTGGTTGTGGTTGTGAATTACAATTGAAACCTAGAAAGGCAAACGGCGGATGCATTTATACCTTCCTGCTAGCAGCTAATGGCACTACACTTCAGCTGCTACACAGAACGGCAACTGATGAAGTTATTTTCGATCCTTTTCTTCCCTTATTGAAATTTAAAATATTTGACTTCCGAAAAAAAACAAGAATGGAGCCAATGATTAGTTTTAAAATCAAAGCATTCAGTCATAATTTGTCAATAATAGTACTGTAGTTATTGTATTTGTAATATCAATAAAAGTCCAGGGTACTATGTATTTCGTTAATTTCCTGCTCGAACGATCTAATTCATTGGTTTTATATACGTTTCTTGCATCTAGTACTATAGTTATCATATCTATAATATCCACGAAACTCTTTAAACTATGTATATAAATTTTCATTTAGGTGGTAAATGCTATTCATGATTTTCGTGGAATGGCGTTAGCTGGAGTAGGGAAAAAAGTACGACTGTATGACCTTGGTAAGAGGAAATTGCTTGCTAAATGTGAAAACAGAGTAAGTCTTTATTTTTCTTTTGTCTGCTTGTCAGCTTTATTTATGTATGAAACAGTTTGTGTATTTCAGAATACAACGGATTTATTATGGTTTAACTTTCATTTTTTTGATAGTATTAATAGAGAAGAAAGGATGAAAATAAAATATTTGTCTGGACGTAAAATAGGAATTTTCTTCCAATAGTTTTTACATGTTTAATGCCGAAGTAATACTGGAAATCTGGAATTCACTTTGAACGAAAATAATTATTTTTCAATATTTCAAACCCGAGAATTCGTAGACGAAGTAAATAATTTCTTAAAACAATTTCTGAAATTGCGATTGAAAAGGAAGTAAATAATAGGATTTAGAGCTGAATTAACACGAACTATGCTAGACGATGTAGACCAAACATGTGGACTAACATTTAGAGAAAACCCATACAATATACTGAAAAAAAGCCTGCAAAATATAGCACAAACACTCATAACAACTATCAGTTTAGCAGTTTTGATCATTAGGCTCTGTTTTTTATCCAAGGTACCTCGAAATTTGGTTTTTGCTGAATTGGCGGAAATTTCCAAAACTGGACTGTAATGGTGTTCTTTAACGACTATGACATCATATTGATTACTTACGTATTCCCTGAAAATTTATTTCGCTGTCTTAGATATTATGAAAAGAAAAAGGGATAGGACAGAAAAATTAAAATCTTAATGAAGGTGAAGTGTGATGCCAGTTTTCTTTTTTATTTATGCAGAGACTACTGGAGTAGCTATTTATTTAGCACAGCAAATTTCCCCTAAAAGATGTTGTAAGTAATTGAAAATACATTCATGCGCGTTTACGCAAAATAACCTCGTGAAACTAATCTTTAACCCATGACTTCGTTTGTTTTATTTTGGCAAGTTACCTTTGAAGATTTTCCTCATTTACTTTTAGTTCCATGTCCCATAACTCGCCCTTTGTATGTTTTAAGCAGCGAGGCTGAGGCTGAAATTAGATTTTTCTTAATTTGTCCAAAAAAATTTGTTCAGGATTATAAGCAGATTAAATGCATCACCTTTCTTGTTTACGACATAACAAAATTCAAAGTTTGTTTCTACGAAATTTGGTTCAAAAATAAAAATCAAAATGAAAACTTTCAATGTTCTCAAACCTTAAAGAATTTTTTAAGTAATCATTTTGATCTTCAGCTCCATAAAAGTTTTGAGGGCGGCATTGATCTCTTCGGCGTACACTTGTACTGCGGCAATATTGTATTGAAATTTTGGGTTCTTCATTGAAGAACTGATGAAAACATTTGTTAGTGGAATATGTAACCGTCTTCACATTTTGTTTTGGGGACTCTTATTAGCAGGTGTCATTATTAAGCCAAAATCGAAAAAGTGCTCTGAGCTAAAGGTGCTATGATTCAAGTTTTCACCAATTCTTTTCGTGTGGAATGAATATTTGAATCTGTAGGGCAGTTTCGAATGATATATCCTTTTGTTTTTGACCGAGCAGTTTCATCTTTTTCATTCGTATTTCTAACTTTCTCCATGCTAATTGGGACATTACCTCTGAAATTTGGCTTGTATAAGAATAATTTTGAAAGTCTGTTGATAAAATTTTCATTAGTTATTATCATTTAGAATGAAGAGACATTTGTCAAAAGGGGTCATAATAGGGGTGTATCATTTAGGGACTGTCATTTAATGGCATGGGTATTACTAAAAAATTCTAAAAAATTCGTTTTCATTGATATCCTTTCCGTCAAATGATGTACTCCACAGTATGATCTCTTTTCTAGAACAAATGTAACATAAATACAGAATGAAAATAGTTAGAATTATAGGTCTGAAATTTTCGAAACTAAAGGTATTTTTCTAATTCCTTTCAGCTATAGTCTTGACTGATGTTTCCATATAACTCACCGAAAAACCTTATAATGACTGTACCATAGTTTTTTTTTTTTTTTTTTGATCGAGGCGTATTGGCTAATGTTATCACATCCGATAATAAAGTGCTTGATATAACTCGTCCTGTAGTTATATAGACTTTTGTGGGAACAAAAGTTATAAGTAGCATTGGTGTGTAGAAACTTAATAAGGCACTGAAATTAGAAGTGATGGGTTTGGCTGCAACATCCTCATTTTTATACTTAGTGCAAAGAAATATACTTGTTGGCTTTGTAAGCATACTTTAGCTTAAAATAAGGCTTTAAATAATTTATGCAGAATTTTGGTAGAAGCAGAACACTAGAGTGTTTTTTCCGGTGGTAATACAAATAGTAGTCATTCAAATAATTATGATAGGGATGCTAATCAAGAGCCAAGTCGTACTTGTGATTAATGAACTGTTGAAAATATTCTAATTGTTGATGTCTATTTTCCTGTCATTTTTATTCCCCGCCTTATTTTGATCTACAAATTAGTTTGTATTACTGGTAGCAGTGTTTCATGTAAGAGATGGAGAAAGCTGAAGAGAATTGACGACATTGAAAGAGTTTAATTTTGTTCGGTACTATTAAGAGGAGCCAAATTGGAAGCTATTGGAATGATTTTGTCGCGTTTATAAGTTATTTTTGACGAGGTGACATAAGCAGATTTCATTACTTTCGTGGAAACCTATGAATGTATTTTCGTCAGTATATAGAAATTAAATTGAATTTCTCGCTTATATGGATGGTTAAAATTAAGCTTGAATATATTTATCCTTGGTGTAACCGCTAATATAATTATCACAGCTGTCATAATTGTTATGGTCATTATTTCATTACTTTAGAACATATAAAAATTTAAATGCTATAAATGCTAAGAATGAGGAAATGTCGAAATGGATTCAGTCTCCAATTTCCCAGTGATGCAAAATGACACTTGATAAAATAATACTAAGCAAACAGAGAGATGAGAGATCAGGAAGAAGCAAACAGCTGATGAGGTAGTGATGTACTCCACAAGCGGGAAAATATTGAGAAATGAATGTTTATTTATTTATTATCTATTCATGTGTTTGTTTTTTTATTTGTTTATATTTATTTATTTAACTGATTGCTTGTTTATTTAATCTATTTAACTAGTTAATCAATTCATTTATCTCACTTATTTTGATTTATTAAGTTTTCAGTTAATTAATTAACTAACTTGTTTATTTGATATTTATTTTGCTTGTTTATTTTACTTTATTTAGTTTAATCCTCATGTAAACCATCATATTTCTGGATGTTGATTACATTTTTTCCTTTTACATTATTTAGTTTAATCCCCATATAATAATTGTATAGAATTTTTTTTGCTCAGTTGTATATAAGTAGGATTCAAAATTAGTAAGGGAAATATGAAAAAAATAGAAAGGATCAACAAATTTTCCAAACAATCTTAGCTGTTAGAATTGATCTTGAGATCAAACTGTTATGCTTATTACAAAGTTTTTTGTTGACTTAAGGAGTTTAACAGTTTAGAAAGTTTGTCTTTATCAAGTGAGTCTAGTCATCATATGGCATTTTTAATGGTAGCTTTTCTAACTGATTAGCTTTGATCTTAATTTTTTATCCAAACTTCTGTACTAATAAAATCAATTTAAAAAAGTAATGATTGAAAGGTATTGATTGGTTATATTTATTGAAAATAGCTCTCCTAATACGGGTGGATTACTTTCTATGAATTCTTCATATCTTTTATTCCAGTTATCCATGTGAATCCAGAGAATATAAAAAGTGGTTTTATCTCGAGTTAAACATTCCTTAATGCGTTATTATCAGAATAAGTATGCTTAGTATACATGTTAGGCTAAATTAAAGCTTTTTTTTCAGCAAATACCTACACAAGTTGTTGACATCCGATCAATGGGACAACGTATAGTTGTAAGTGATTCGCAGGAATCGGTGCATTTCATGCGTTACAAAAAACAGGTAATTTTGTTGGAATTGAATATGGAATTTTATGACAAATTAGGTTGAACAAATTAATGAATCTTTCATTTGAGGATGGTCAGTTATCGATATTCTGCGATGAGACATCTCCACGTTACGTAACATGTGTCTGTCTGCTGGATTATGACACAGTTGCGGTTGGAGATCGTTTTGGAAATATTGCTGTGGTAAGTTTATTCAGCGAATTTGTTTGTGCACATTACGTGTTTACAAATGATGCTATGAAATTTGAATAAGTTTAAAGAAAATTAAAAAGAATACGAGTAACAGCTTTTCAATGGCATGATATTTAAAAATAGAAAACCTGAACTTTTAGTAACAGTCTTTGACAGTTATGTTTATACTCTGTTATCACTCCGTAAAACTGCTTTCTTTTTGCTGAGAAATGATTTCTAGTATCATGTTAAAAAGGTTAAAGTGACTTTAAAATAAAAGTTTGCTTATTAAGCTCTGTTGAACAAATTCCTAAACACTTTGTTTGCTAGGTTATATTGAATAATTTGGACAAAGTACTAACACTGGAAATGCAGATGCAAGCAATTTATATTGTCATAACTGATTATGAAAAATGCAAATTTTTTAGTTTTGCCTTTCTAATGCATTTAAATTCTTTTTTTCATCTATCTTTTTACCGTATAAGTATATTGTTTGTCTGTCATCATCAATATACCTTAAAAAAAAAAAAAAAAAGAAAAAGGCAACGAAAAGAGACCCTAATGATTTGTTATACCTAACAATAACTCCAGCTTAGTAGGTTGTGCTATACGGAAATTGCTGGGTTAGTTGTTATTTGATGTCATACAACTTCAGTGGCTTCTTGACTATGCTAGGCAGATCAGATGGTGAAGAGTTTGTGTCATACTTCAGGAAATTGAACATTACATGTTTATTTGTATTTCATTCGTCCTAAATTGGATATTTTTTAATTCTTAACAGGCAAATTCTTATGTATAGGAATTTTTTTTTCTCAACATTGTATGAGTAGGATTCGAAATTAATAAGGGAAATACGAAAAAAAAGTGGGAGTAGGAAGAACAAATTTTTCGGCAAACAATTATAGCAGTTAGAATTGGTCTTAAGATTAAATTATTAAGTGATGGTAAAGAAACACAAAATAACAACTTCGAGGGCTATTGTTTTACACTTCATTAAATAAGCATTGCGTGTATGTTGCGTAATAAATGGCTTTTAGAATATTTGAGTTGATAATACGGTTCGCTTCCAGAATTTTATAGAATTAAAGCATTTAAATTTGAATTTTCCGAAAGAGAGTTTATATCTTTGGTAATCTGAAAATCCACTGTTTTTAATTTTCTTCAAATACTGTTGTAGTTTTAACTCTTCTACTTCCTAGCTAGATTTCTGTTCTTAACTTTAATACTAAATTTCCAGGTTCTTGAATTCTTGCATTTTAGTTGCGATTACCGAAAGGTGTAACTGAAGAGGTGCAAGAAGATCCTACTGGTGTACGTGCGCTATGGGATCGAGGAAATCTGAATGGAGCTTCACAAAAAGTATGCTTTTTTGTTTCCTAGTTATTAGTTGGGATAACTGTTTCTGAAACAAAATTTCATGCCATACATAGATCTAATACTTACTGTTCCGCTCTTTTTGCTTACCTTTTTTAAAACAATCTTTTACTTATTATTTACCCACTTGCTCAAAAATTTTTATTTGATTACTTGTTTGATATACTAATATGTTAGTCTTTTTCATTGATACAGTACTTAGTTATAATAGCAGCTGAATGGAATTTTAATGTTTGTCCTGGCGAAATATCGATATTAACAGTTATGAAGTTATAGAAGTTTGTCATGAAAGATTTCGAAAAATTCAATAATTCCATTGTCTTGATGATTCCTTCTCAGCTGTCAACTTCTAGCCTAATGAACTGTAAATGATAACTAAACGAATAACCGAATAGGAATTCGAAATCTTCCTGAATATTTATTTTGCAGTTGGAAGCCATAGCTCACCTCTATATTGGCGATGCGATAACATCAATGCAGAAGACATCTCTAGTCCCAGGTGCGAACGACTGCTTATGTTATACAACGATTTCAGGAATTATTGGAATTTTGGTACCATTCATGTCCAGAGATGTAAGAAGCTTTATCGTTATTTTAATTTGAAATCGTTTTTAATTTTGTTGCTTTATTTGCTCATCCTTTTAATTTCACTTGTCTGTTCAATCCCTTACTGTTCCTTATGTGTTCATTAACTTGTTTGCCAATCAATTTTAGTATGGTTGTCGTTTGGCTATCATAATTAACTATTTAATTCTTTTATTTTTTCATGTTAATATCTTTTTACTGGAAAATTTTTTTACAACTGCTATTGAAACAATTTCAAATTTTTAGATTTTCCAGCAGAAACACCGACCACCCACTACACTTTTTTGTCTTTATAGGAATTTGAATTTTTCCAAAACCTTGAAATGCATATGAGAGTGGAATATCCACCGCTTTGTGGTCGTGATCATCTTGCATATCGTTCCTATTACTTCCCTGTTAAGGTATTTCTATTAGTAATTGAAGACATAGCTGTTTTTGCGTTATATTCTTCGGAGTTCAAACTACAAAGGATTTCTGAACATTTCGCATCTGAACAACTCTTGAGATATGATGTGTTGGAGCAATTCATATCTTTATGCTTTCATTTTCTAAGTTTTAGTCAATTATCGATGGTGATCTTTGCGAACAGTACTCATTAATGCCATTGGATAAGCAGAAATCGGTTGGCGAAGAACTGGGAAGGAAGTCGACTGAGGTTACTGTTGTGGTTGCAATTAGGAATTTCATCTGGAGAGTTATGATAACCTCCTCGGAAGTCAAAATTTAACTTAAGAGTAATAGGAAAAGCTGAAAGTCATTTGATGATGTTACTTAACTAAGCATTGTATGCAAGAAGAAATTATCAATGCTCAATAAGAGAAAAACACATTCACAAGTACATAACTGATGCAGAAGTGTGAAGCTGTATCATTTCATGTAACTGCGATAATTATTTACCTCCTGCTACGATGAGCCACATTAACGCACTGCAGCAATGTTGACTATTACCATTTCAAGATTAAAATAATTTGAATGCAAATCATTTCGCACTTTATACCATTCTTACTCGCAAGTGCAGAATTAAAAATTTGGTTGATTTTTGATAAAATATATAAACTTTATATGAAGTGAGGAAGATTTGAGGAGATATAAATAATACAAATTTTGAAGATAGATTTCCAAGTCTTACCTCAAATTTTATTTCATGTCCGGTTTTAAAAATTTATTTAATCAGAATATATGTCAACTATAAATCTTAATTTTTTGAACTTAAAATAATTGTTGAAATTATCCGTATCGGAATTAGCAATTGTTAATGTGTCTAAGGGATTCCGAATTTTGTTTATTTTTCAGATTCATAAGAAGTTGGAAGATATCCGAACTCGTTATGCGTTTTAAGTTCTCTTAATGGAATGCTTTTGGCGTCATCCTTTGCTACTGTTGCCAAACGATTGATTTTTTGCTCTTTGAATTCAGAGTGATCTCGATACCGATATTATTTTTCTTTTTACATCTTAAATTGTTGATTGTTTTTTATTGTTACAGCGCGAATTTTTTAAAGTTCAGGATCTAAGAACTTTTGACTTTTTTGTTTTTTATGAAAATGACAACTTAAGATGGCAAGTAAATTTAGCGTTAGTAACGGCCAATCAAAGATACAGTTGATAGTTTTCATCTTAAATCGTCTACTTAGAAATTACGTTATTTTTTTATGAGATGTTTGAAATAATAACAATGTAGAAATTACATTATTATTAATTTCTTTTCGGTGACTAAAATTAGTTTCCATTCGTCCAAGGTATTGCAAAGTTACATCGCTCAGTTACATCATTCTTTTCAATCCGCCCATTTTTTATGATTTATGATTGAAGTTCTTCTTCATTGGTTTAAAGTACGAATCAGTAAAGTTTTTAAAGTAGTTCACAGCGTAATTATTTTGAGAGTGAGGGCTCTCGGTACAACTACTTGACAACTAAATCCGATTTGCGAATCTTTCCGAAATATACGAAAGCATTTTCAGAATGTTTGTTTAGTGAAGCCGTAAAGAATTTGTAACACCAGGAAACTTTTATTATTTGAATGGGATTTACTCAAATGTTAAAGTGCCAGGGTTTCCACTGTTTTGATGTTGGGGAATATCAATACAAAATGGTCAACAAGAACTATCGTGGAAATTGGTTGTTCCATATGATGGAAATGTGCAGATTTGTCATCAGTTAATGAGATTCATGCTCCTTTTTTGGGGATTTGTAATATATTCGCCTTATCTTCTGATGTCAAGTATTGTTATTCCTGAGGTTAAATTGAGCTTTGGTTTCGTCATTCTCATTAGTTTTTGTTTGTGAACTTTTATGACAAAGACATGTCAGTTTTGTTGGACATTAGCCTATTCTGTTTCCTTACCGTTTAATTTACAATTCATATTTTATGCACAGTTTTGATTTTTAATGCTGAAATTTGGAAACAAAAGCTGAGAAACTAAATTATGACTGCGTCATTTGAGTCATGATTCTGCAGTTTCGAGAGTCTTAGCTTTCGAATAACCATTAATTAGTCGTGATATTGCTCAGATAAATTTAAAATTTCCATAAATTTTTAAATTCAAAAGTATGGACGCAGATAAGCTACACTTATTTCCACTTAGTTTTTATTAATTAATAATCTGCTAATAATTTAACTGTTTAGAAGTTACGCACAAAATGATGAAGCTGATGGTTATTTGCAGATGTTACATAATAGCAAAGAATCGATAAAAGCAATCATTAGCATCAATTCCTGTTCTTACTTTTTTTTTTTTAAAAGATTTTTCAGATCATGATAGAAAATTATGCGTTATGTGTATACAGATAAGCTATACTCCTTACTCATTAACAACCTGCTGATAATTAGCGCACGTATAGCTGTCCAGATGTGCGTTATACGTATGTTAAAATATAATTACTTCCATAAAAAAGAAATCGGCTGTTAGTTTTTTTCCCGATTTTATGTTGAACAAACCCGTCATCATTTTTGCATGAAAATTAAGCCTTTTTTCTTACATATTTTAGAAATTTCAAGCAAAAAATATTCAACTGTTGGAATTAATCATTACTTCTAAAAAAAATGTTCCGATTTTTGTCTCATACCGTTTCATTCATCTCCTCAATTAATGAACTAAAATTCCTTCAAAAGCAATCAGTAGATTTTCACCGCGAGATTTCTGTTGAGTTAGATGTGCTTAGAACTGGATTTTTATTTTTTGATACACAAATTTCCAGTTCCAGAATGTTGCAGAGTATAGATTTCTAATACCGAATATAATTTGAATTAGCTAAACCGTTATGCTAAAATTTTGTCATATTATTAGCAGTATTTCTGGAAAAGTAAAGGACAAGAGTTTTCATGCTGCAATAAATAGAATTACAATTTGAATGGGAATTGTGGAGGAATAATATTGCTGGTTGAGAAGAAATTTCACTTTCTTCGCATGCTTTGAAGAATGGTTTGATTTCCGGGAGAACGAATCGAATTTTCATTTCCATCGATATGCTATCACATTTCAATGTTAAAAATCTTTTCTTACGAAATTGTTTCCAGTGAAAATACTGAAAAGTAAGAAGTAATTTTAGAGAAAAATTTTGCTTATCAAATAAAAATAGAAGATGAGAATATTTGAAAAAAAAATAAAATAAAAATTTAATTTCGATAGTGGGGAAAGTTTATACAAGTTGAGAAATTGTTGTCGGAATCTCTTCTTTCTATTTTAAAAATAATTCCCTCTACTTTTGAATAATAATAACAATATAATAATAATAATTAATAATAATAATAATAGTAATAATAATAATAATAATAATAATAATAATAATAATAATAATAATAATAATAATAATAATAATAATAATAATAATAATAATAATAATAATAATAATAATAATAATAATAATAATAATAATAATAATAATGTTGATGATTATTATTATTTTTATTATTGTGATATTATAATAATGATGCAGCAACAATTTCTTCGTATATTCGATCAATTTTCTATTCGAA